GAGTGAGAGCCACCCGCTTCCCTGAGAAGATGCCATGAGGAACACTAGACATTGAGCCAGGCACCAGGAAATGGATTTTAAAGTTCCCACAGTTTGCAGGTGGGAGGGGCGCATCTGTTGACATAGCTGCAGAGCAGCAGACTTTAAAGTGCTGGAGAAAGCGGCTAATTGGGTATTGTGGGAGCCATGCTGGAGTTCAATAAACTCGACAAAAAACAACTATAGTATACACTGTGTGACTGTCAACAGTAAGGGAAGGGGGAAGCTGTGGGAGAACATGGAGGGAATCCCAAGATGCGCAGGGATCAGCTCCGCCCTCCCACAACATGGCACGGTGGGATACATTCCCACAGTGCACTGCTCACACTGTCCATGATAGCGCCCACAATGTGGACATGTTCCCTCCACGGAGGGACAAGTGTGAACACCCTCTGGCGAGCTTTTTGTGAGCTGAGGTTTGTGTTGTCAACCAAACTTTGTAGTGTCGATATAGCCAAAGAAAGGCCGAAAAACTATGATAAAGTTGATCTTTTTTTCTTTGAGAGAGAGAATTTGGAAGTATATAGGCAAACAGCAAAGTCTATATCTCATTGGTCTGTGGAATACATAAGCACAGAAAGACTAGCTTTAAACACCATGGCTACATCTACACTGCAGGGTTTTTGAGCAAGAACAACTGTTCTTGAGCAAAAAGTTGCAGAGTGTCTACACTGTATGTGCATTCTTGCACAAGTAAATTTACAGTACAGCGTCGGAAAACAGGGCTTCTTCCAGAAGAGTTATTCCTCTCCCCATGAGGAATAAGCCCTCTTGCGCAAGAGCTATTCCGCAAGAAGGCAGTGTAGACAGACAACATGAATTTCTTGCGCAAGAAACCCCTATGGCTAAAATGGCCTTCAGAGCTTTCTTGTGCAAGACAGCGTCCACACTGCTATGGACGCTCTTGAGCAAAAGCACATCTCTTGCGCAAAAGCACATGGCCGTATGGACGTGCTCTTGGGGAAGACCTTTTGCCCAAGAACTCTTCCGAAAAACAGTTCTTGCGCAACAAGCCTACAGTGTAGACGTAGCCCATGAGAAGTAGAGACAGTCAATAGCTAACTAAGGGTGCATCTACACTGCACCATTATTCTGGAATAACGGCCATTATTCTGGAGAAACAATACTAGCGTCCACACAGCAATTGTGTTATTTTGAAAGAAAATCAAAATAACGTTGAGCCTTTTCTGACATTGGTAAACCTCATGCCACGAGGACTAATGCCTCTTCTGAACAAGATCTTTTTTGTGGACGCTCTATTGCTGCTATGTTGAAATAGCTCCTCACCAGGGCCATTCTGAGTTATGCCTCCCCAGTGCCTCCTGGGGCTTTAAACTGAGGGAGCACATCCACATTAGGGGAGTCTACCTCGGATTAATTTGGACATCTTCCAGAATAGCTTTTTCTGAAATAAGCTTGCATTGTAGACATACCCTAAGCGTGACCAAGCTTATAACAACTATGGGCCACTGGAAGAGGGAGAACATGTCATGCCTGTTCCACTGGGGCTGGAGGCTGAGCTGAAGTGGACATCAGAAATGTCAGATAAATATGGGAAACTTGAGAGAATGATAGAAACACTTTGCAGTCAATATACTTTACAAACTCAGAGTCATTAAATGTAAGTTCCTAGTGAGGAGGGCAAGCATTAACCCTCTTCTAGAAATGAAGAAACTGGGGTATAAAGGGCAAGCCCACCAACCGGGGAGGGAGGCGGGGGGCAAAGGGGACAATTGTACAATGCCTGGAGCCCTGGGCCCTTTAATCGCCCTCAGCTCCACCCCCTCTACTCTTGGCCATGTCTTTTCTGGAAGCATGGAGCTGGCCCCCACCTCCTGCCTTGCCCAGGGGCCCCCAGTGGCAGGTGAGTTTTTATTAAAATGACTACTGATTTTTGGAGGATCAACTGGAGCTGACTTACAAGGTGTTCAAGAAGTGCTGAGCACACTCCTGCCTCCTGAAAATCATGCCTTTTTAAGTCGTCTTATGTTAGGCACTCAAAGTCGCTAGTGACTCCCGAAAATCTTGGCTAGGAAGTGCCACATGGATTGCGGCTGAGTGGCAACAGACCATAATACATCCTGCCTCCTACCCCTGTGTCTCTGCAAACTTTCCTTTCTCCACAAAAATCTTTCCCGGGGAAAATGTCTGATTTGGCCACAGATGGGTCGGGAGAAAATAAACCTTTGGTAGTGTGAAAATGCACATCTTGTTTGCTTGTCATTTGTTAATAGATGTGAACAAGGGATGTTTCTTGGAGTCACACAGTCTCTAGCAGGCGTCAATTTCTCTTTGAGCCAATATAGAAGAGTTGTTACTGGAGTTTCTTTTAAACTCACATGAGGGTGGTCAGGGTTCATGTAGTTTCGGCAGTTCTAAGGAGCCAACAGTGAGGGTCAGAAACTCTCTTTATATTTGGTAGCTCAGCAGGAGGCAATCAAAAAACGTCAGGGCAGTGGATCTGCTTGCTTAGGGTCAGCTGCTTTCATAGGGTTTTAGCAGTTTCGAGGCGGTGTTGGTGAGGGTCAGAAGTTTTTCTTTATATTCCCCAGCTTGGCAAGAGGTAGTCAAAAACCTCAGGAAGGCAGAGCCGTTTATGCAGCTTCAGTGATTGCAAAGAGTGGCTAGTGAGGATGAGCAATTTGAGGTGACCCCCTTGGGCTCGCCTGTGTTAAAGTGGTCAGGCCAGCAAGCCAAGAAAAGCAAGTGAAGCTGAACTCCGGATTAGCGGATACGGGAAGACCAGCAGAGCTAGAGTCAGGGCTGCCCTATGACTATCAGGTACAGCGGGGTAGGGAACCTTTTTTGAGTTGGGGGTCGCTGATCCACAGAAAAATCAGTCAGGGCCGCACACAAACGAGAAGCAAAAAAACCCCAAACCAAAAAAACCCTGACTGAGAAGAAGAAAGACTCTCCCCACATTCCCCTCACACACCAGAGTCTAGGAAGGCTCAGGCTAGTAGATTTTGTGTGCTCCAGCCCCACAGGGTATGTCTAGACTACATGCCTCTACCGACAGAGGCATGTAAATTAGACATACCGACATAGTCAATGAAGTGGGGATTTAAATATCCCCTGCTTCATTAGAATAAAAATGGCCACCACGTTGTGCCGGCTCAGCTGTTTGTTGGCACAAACCTGCAGTCAAGACAGGGATTGGTCGACAAGGAAAGCCTTTGCCAACCGATCCCTTATGCCTCGTGAAATGAGGTTTACAGGATTGGTTGGCAAAGGCTTTCCTTGTCGACCGAGCTCCGTCTTGACTTCTGGTTTGTGCTGACAAACAGCTGAGCCGGTACAATGTGGTGGCCATTTTAATTCTAACGAAGCGGGGGATATTTAAATCCCCGCTTCATTGACTATGTCGGTATGTCTAATTTACATGCCTCTGTCGGCAGAGGCATGTAGTCTAGACATACCCACAGAGGGAACAGCAGGGGGAGGGGCCTAGAGTGACAGTGTGGGCTCCCCAGTGCTGGCAGGGAGATGCCAGATAAGAGATGTGCAACCCAAGATATAGTATCCCCACCCCTGAGGCTTAGTATATATCATTCAGTAAAAGGAGAGCTGAAGGAGAGAGGGCACATTTCTACCTCTGCATAAGATGCATGCTGGCATTGGTCCCCATTCTGGACTGTAGTTTAAATTGTTGAATTAGATCAGTACAGCTGTGTACACACCCCAAATGGTCACAGCCAACAATGTCACACTAAACGTTGCAGGAACCGGTTGCATCCAAATTCTTTAGATTGCTCTGAAAATCTCAAGTGTGCTTTTTGTGTTTAAAAACTGTGTGAAACTCTCATTTTGGCATTAGCCTACTGTACGCTTAATAGCATGATCAGTGCACTGAATATTGTCAGTATTACTCCAAAAGTCCATCCTGTTTGTGTGGGTCAGAAGGCAGAATATTGATATTTGGTAAGGGATGTATGTGTGACTCTGTCCTAACCAGGAGTCAGCGGAAGCAATCACATACCTGCAGCTAGGACAATATGCAAGTACAGGTTGGACATTTCTTATCTGGCATCCTTGGGACCTCACCGGTCCCGAACCAGGGAATTTGCTGGATCCCTGCCACAGCCTCCAGCTGCCGACTCTGCCAGCTTGGGGGAGGGGGGGAGGATGAGGGAGGGGAAGAAGTGGGGAGACTACGTCCAGCCCCACCTGGGTTGCTGGCTCTGCTGCTGCTGCCTGGGCTGGACTGCCTTCCAGGCTCTAGCAGCCTGTGCTGCCGTGGGCTGCCAAGGGCTAGCTCTGGCCCTGGTCGGGCTGCTGGGGGCTGCTGAAGGCTTGGACTCCGATCCCAGCCCCATGGCAGCCTGTAGTCCCATTTCCGCAGCTGTCTGAGGCTCTGTCCCTGCACTAGCGTGTGTTGCTGGGGCTGCTGCCAGCCCCGGCCCTGGTTCCGCTGTTGCGGGCTGCCAAGAGTGCAAGCTCCTGCTCTGTGGTAGCCTGTAGGTTTTGGCCCCAGCCCTGGCCCCATGGTGCCACGGGTTGTCGCCAACCCAGTCCCAGTGCCGCAGGCTGTTGGGAGCTGCCAGGGGCTGTTACTGGCTCCACCCCCGGTGCTGTGGGCTGCTGCCAGCCCCTGCCCCATCCTACTGCTTCAGCCTGACCCCTCCTGGATTGCCCTCCTGCCACTAGGTACCAGGGTTCTCTGACCAAGGAACATCTGTGGTCCTGCCGGACCGTGGATGTTGCAGGACCAGAGAATTGCGGATGTGGGCAGTGCAACCTGTACAGTATTATCTAATTATTACAAAATTACCAGAAAAGGTCTATCACACAGAGGAAGGTAAAAATAGAATCGGCACACTAACTGTCCTTCAAAGCACTTGAAAGTCCTTCCAGGTTGGTATCATTTGCAAATTGTATAAGCATAGGAGTTACAGCACAAGTTGCAAAAGCTAAAACGCTTCACTGCTAAACTTACACCCCATCCATTCTGCCGATCTCACCTGTTAGAACTGCTCTGTGCTGTGTGTCTGAAGTTTGAGCCAGAAGGGGGGAGGGTATCCTGAAATGTCTGTTCCTCTTGTGATGTTACAGATCGGGTGACAAAAGCTTCATCTGTGGTATCCTCAGTGTTTCCATGCCCCAAAAGAGCTGTTAAAATGATCAAATTGTGACATTAGATTTGATTGATCACAAAGAACAAAACACGCTCATTATCCCCAATTTGCTCTCACAATAAGCCATTCGGGTTCCTTCAAAACTGCCACATAACACAAGAGATAGGGATGTAAAATCCCGTTTAATTAGTTAACTGGTTAAACATTAAGCTTACCAGGTTAACTGATTGAACAGGGGCAGGTGGGGGACCATCCTCTGCCTGCTGCAGCTGGGCAGGAATTTTTCCCAAGCCACAGGTAGGGGCTGCTCCAGCCCAGCTGCTTCCAGCTTCATGCTGGGCTGCCAGCTGTCAGCCTGCACGGGGCTGGAAGTGGCAGCTGGCAGAGGGTGGTTTCTAGCTCCCAGCTTGCATGGGGGGTACAGAGGGTTTTGGTGGCAACCTGGGGCAGGAGGGGATGGTGACTGGGGCAGAGAGCTGGGGTGCGGGAGATGGGGTGTCAGAGGCAGGCGCTGGCCAAGAGGCACTTACCTAGGCAGTTCCTGGCCAGTGGGACCCTCATGCAGGCTCTGTGCCTGCCAGCAGCCACAAACTACTCAAAGCAGTTGGCTGTTCCATGTAGCTTTCCAGCCAGTAGGAGCTGGGAGATGTGCTGGGGGTGGAAACAGCATGCAAGGCTTCTCTCCTCTCCCCAATGCGTGGTGCAGACAGCAACAATGAGCAGTCAGCACTTGGAGTGGCACAGAGCTGCTCCATGTCCAAGGGTCCCAGCGGGACAGGCTGCAAGTTGGATTAAAAGACTTGGTGGGATGGATCTGGTCTGTGGGCCGGATCTTGCCCATCCCTGGTCTAGCGGATGACATAGATTGTGTTTCATGTGAGCTTTTCTCTACAGCAACACTGATCAACATTCATACACTGCGTAGCCTTTCCCCTTCACATCTTTAAAAGAGATTAAAACAAAGTCAAACTATTTTCCCTACTATTTTTGTTTTACTTAATTTTAGTTCACGAGACAACACTGACTTTAGGACCCTGAAAATAGGGAGATTTTAGCATATCAGAAGCCTTAATTTGAGATGTGCTGAATCTGAGAGACCACTTTTTGAAAAGTACCCAAGCCATCTAAAAAGATGTAGAAAAATTGCATACTGTAGGTATGACACTAAAAAAAGAAAGCATAATCAAACCCTAGGCTAGCAGAGTATGGATTAAGGAAAAATCCTGTTACAGATAAAGACTTTAAAAGGTTTTTCTCAAAAAATCATAAGACCTTTTGCTTTTTTTCCCCTTTAAATCCTGTTTGCCCCCCTTGTTCTCTACCTCCCTGAATCCTGCAATACCTAATCTGCAACAATACCCATGGTAACACCACAGGCAGTGGAAAGAATATAATGCTACTGCAAGCGTTACCATACTGTTGTATTTTACATTTTGGCCAGAGACCCAGAAGTGCTCACCAGCTTAGGAGGGCAAAGACACTTGGGTTTCTGATCCTTCAGTTTCTAAAGGGCTAACTCCCCAAGCTTGTTGCGGACTGTTATTACGTGTCATGCTGTTCTTGTGTGAGAGAAAAATGCAGTGAATGAGCCAAACAGGAGTAAACTAGCTTATCTACCATACCCATAACTAGCGTGCTCTGGTTGTACTGGCTTCACAGATCCACACACATGGAACTGTGCGGGCAAGGAACCATTAGAAGGAGTTAGCTCAGTAAGGGGTCACATGCCTGGATGCATGCTCACAACAGTTCCTAGACTGAATCTATTAAAGAAGAGGCATAGATCCCATTCTGATTCAGTCCCCTTGTCTAGAATAAAAACTGCAAAGAGAAGCAGTAAAAGAGGGAGAGTGAATGTGTATCTAGGGAAGCAATACACTATAGCTGGAAAATTCAAATTCCTAGTAAGTAAATTAGAATTTCTTCTACTGAAATCTCCAGAGATCCCTATTCTTCGAAACGAATGAGTAGTAATCAAAGAAGAGAGAGGGGCTGAGCAATTAACTGATCTAACAAGGAACTGCAGAAACTATTTTTCAGTGTGTCAAGAGCTCCAGATACTGGCCTAGACATAAGCCACTAACAGAACTTTTGCCTTACAAGCCACCCTAATTTTGGTGGACTAAACTGTAAGACCCTTTGGGAATCAACAGTATATCTCGTAGCTGTTTTCAAAGCACTGGCCTATCCATTTTCAATTGGCCTAGAAGTGATTCTGTTTTTCAGCTCAGAACCCAAGATGAGCTACCAAACATTCCAGTTCTCACAATATAAAAAATGAGACCTAGATTCAAAGACTAGTTTAACGTGGTTAAATGTATGCCTTCTTGTTATGCCGAGCTGTGATACACAAGTCACACGCTGAATGAGACTGCCAGAGGTCTGGTCTACATTGGTATAACTAGGTCTCCCTGGGATGTAAAAAATCCCCCCTTCTCCGAGAGACGTGGTTATCCTGACCTAACCCCTCAGAGTAGTCAGCATTAGATTGATGGGAGAATTCTCCCATTGACCTAACCCCCCTTCCATCTGCACACAAATCATGCTAACAAAGGGCTTGAACCCAGAGTCCCAGGACCAAAACTAGAGTCAAACCAGGACTCAAGGTTCTAGCCCTATTGCCTTTCAGTGTAGATGCAGCACCTCTTGACTTGTTTGGTTCTGGCAGTCTGCCAAAAGTAGGGAGCCAGAGGAAGGCTTGTGGGGTAGGGGAGAGCAAAGCTTTGTACCAAAGCTGCACAGCTACAAGACACCCAGTGTTACAAGGTAGATGGTGACCGAATCCCCTTTCAGGCCTTGGTGAACCCCAGAACATCACAATTGACCCTTCATATTGTTTCAACATAGTTAATGTTTGTATTGCAGAGAGAATCGAATTGTGCTGTAACAAGGAGACATAAAGGGCTGAAGCCTTGGACATGTCTGGTCATATGCTCTTGTTACGACATAGGTAGGTCACATATAAATTAAAGCATGTTGTGTCCAGGACAGGAGACAATTCTGATGTAACCTCATCTGCTAACCTGGATATTTGTGTAGTGTAGGCAGGCCCTTAGCTATACCAGGTTACACATTATTAAGTGGGCGTGACCAGGTCTGAGGCAGCATAATTGAGAGTAAGCAAATCTGCCATCTACCAATTTACACAACCCCTCTGAATTTGGCCCTATACATTCTGGGAAACTGGCTTGCCCTTAGGCATGCTAATGAGTTTTGGCACTTTCACATCTTGGAAACAATTTGAATGCATCTTAGGATCTGTGTGCAGAAGTTAATTATATCTGATGGATATTCAGTGCTTAGTGTGAAATGAATTAAGTTTGTTTAGTTCCTAGGAGGTAAGAAGCCACAGTATTGTTGCCATAATCACAAAAGCAGCATTGCCCATTGCACTAAGCTGTGCTCAGCAGAGGCCAAAGACTTGAATGGGTCTATGCTTCGTTCCTTACCTCGAAAGGGGGTCTCTTCAGAACTAGACTGAGGAACACGAACAGAGCGCAAGGGAAAGCGTGTACATGCTGTCTCTTTTCTGTGGATAAATATTGGCATTGTGGCACTTTTTGTGATCACTAAAATTATTAACAAATTTAAAATATTCACCAAAGTCCGTTCACATGTAACCTGTAGATAGTATTTTATCAGGTGATGCGCAAGTCAATCCCTGCATCTTTGTTTACTTTTAGGACAGGGAGGGAATTCCTTAGAACAAATCAAAAACCCATGAGCATGAATGATGATGGTTCCAAAGGCTTGCCAGAGATCCTAGTACAGGGGTGGGCAAACCACAGACTGTGGGGCGTATCTGGGCTTTCAGGACTTTTAATCTGGTCCACAGGATTACTAGTCCGGGGGCATAGCTAGGCTAAGGCAGTCTCCCTACCTGCTGTAGCCTCATGATTAGGGATGTTAAGGACTAGTTGACAGGATAGTCAACTAGCTGCTTCCCCCGCACCTTGCTGCCTCTATCAGAGGGGATTAGAGGGGGGTACTTCAAAGGGACAGTGCCGCATGGAGCCCAGGATCTCTGTGTGGTGCTGCTGCTTTGAAAGGCTGCCGAGGCATTTCAAAGGGGTATCACCACATGGAGCCTGGACTCAGCTGGGGACTACCCAGCTAATCCTGAGCTCGGTGCGGCATTGCCACTATGAAACACTGCAGTGGTGTTTCAAAGGGGGAGTGCCACCCTATCGACTAATCGAATAGTCAATGCATTGACTACTTGATTAGTCAATTACACGATACTTAACATCCTTACTCATGATGCTCCTGGAAGCAGGTGTCACATCTCTGTGGTCTGTGGAGGAGGCAGAGAATCTCCATGTGCTGCCCCTACTTGCAGTTACCGCTCTCCACAGCTCCTATTGGCCAGGAACAGGGAACTACAGTCAATGGGAGCCACGAGGGTGGTGCCTGTGGATGTCTGCAGAGCGTGGGGCTACCTGCCTCCACCCCATGAGCCACTGCAAGACATGCCAGCTGGACATGTCATGTGCCAGACATGTCATGTGAAGCCAGGGCAGGCAGGGAGCCTTACTTAACCCTGCTGAGCTGCCACCCTGGAACCACATGAGGTAAGTGGCACCAGGCCAGAGTCTGCACCCCACATTGCAACACCCTGCTACAGCCATACATTCCTGGCCTGCCATACAATTTTCCTACCCGAATGTGGCCCTTGAGCTAAAATGTTTGTCCACCTCTGTACTAGTGGCTTCTTTCACTGTAGGTGGAATGAAAGAAGGAAGAATGACCTTTGTATATTTTGGAGGCAGTGGCGCAGGAGAAATCATGATGGTCCATACAGTCCCAATGCTAATCCTGATGAGAGGACCTAGTGTTACTGTATGACAGGATATATCCTAGAGAAGTCTAGAGCAGCTCAAAACTATGACAATCAAATTCTCTATTATCTTTAGAATGAAGAAATATATATCTTCACTATGGATCCATGGGTTTGTGTTTCTCGTGGGCACAGATTAACTTTTAATATAACATTTTCCCTCAGACATTCCT